TACCTTTCTGTCCACCAGGAGAAGTTTTGGGATTTCAGGTGAGGAGGCCACCAAGGACAGGGCTGGGATGCTGGGAGATGGGTGTCTCCTCCAGCCTCTCCCCTTGCTCCCCAGCTTCCATGAGATGGCCATCTACGATCTCCCAGCCATGGTGGGCTTCATCATCATGCAAACCGAGCAGCAGAAACTGTTCTACGTGGGCCACGCTCAGGGCAGCTCCCTGGGTGAGTGAGGAGGAGGAGTGGATGGGGGGTGGGAGTGGGGCACAGGGATGCCATGGGAGAGGGGCACCAATGCCCACCCCAAACTGGACACTGCTGGGAACGGGGCTGCACTGGCCCGTGCAGCCGCTTTCCCCGCCTGCCTTCTCGGTCCTCCTGCACGGGAGAGGTTTGCCACGTCTTGCCCATCTACCCTGGGCTGTGCTTACACCCAGGAGCACATTTTGTTCAGACTCTACACCTCAGGCAGGGTGTCTGGGACGAGCTGGGGTTGCTGTTGTGATCTCTTGCTGCTTCCCAGGTTTCATAGCGTTTTCCAGCCTGCCACACCTGGGAGAGAAGATCAAACTCTTCTTTGCTCTGACTCCTGGCTACACCTTGCAGCACATCAAAGGGCCTGTGTTAAAGACAGCATATCTACCAGATGAGGTCCTGAAGGTACGTGAGGTGTTTGTGTGTTATTACTCCCAAAATCCAGGACTTCTGGCAACTCATACCCCCCCCTGCATTGCCACTGTGCACCGATGCCATGCCTGCGGTGGGCGTTGCAGATCCCAACATCACTCCTAACATTTCCTTGCGCTCTTGCAGCTAATATATGGGACCAAGGAGCTGAGCCTGGTGAGCAGGAAGGACAGAGCCTTCTTTGCTGAGAAGTGCAGCAAACATCCAGTGGATGATGTCTGTGAAAATGAGATCTTCCTTGTCGGCGGGTACAACAAGAAGAACTTGAACGTGGTGGGTGCATCAGGCTCTCCAGTCACAGTCACCTCCAGTTGTCCTGGACACCTGGAGATAGTTAATGAGCTACAAAAATGAGCATAAAACCCCAAAATAAGGTGCGAAAGGCAGCACTTATTTGGAGATTTCTTGCAGTGGTGTTGAAGTGTTAAACCTGGTGGAGTCTTTGGTAAGAAAGAATCACTTGTGGTCATGTCTCTAAGGGAAGGGTAACCCCTGCCTCATTTTCTGCTGAC